AAAAATTTCATACCCGGCACGGTGACTCATGTCTATAATCTCAGCACTTTGGGAGGCATAGGTAGGAGAATTGCTTGAGCCTGGGAGTTTGGGATCAGCCTGGCCAACATAGTGAGACCCCATCTTTAAAAAAAAAAATCTTGGCTAGGGCAGAGTGGCTCATGCCTGTAATCCCAGCACTTTGAGAGGCCTAGCAGGGGGTGGATCACTTGAGGTCAGGAGTTCGAGACCAGCCTGGCCAACATGGCAAAACCCCGCCTCTACTAAAAATACAAAAATTAGCTGGGCATGGTGGCGTGGGCCTGTAGTCCCAGCTACTCATGAGGCTGAGGCATGAGAATCGCTTGAACCTGGGAGGCAGAGGTCGCAGTGAGGCAATATCGCGCTACTGCACTCCAGCCTGGACAACAGTGAGACTCTGCCTCAAAAAAAATTTTTTACTGACATTATAATTCCTATGCCAAAAATTTATCCATGTAAAGTGTATAATTCAATGCTTTTTAATATAGTCACTTATAGTCACAGAATTGTGACTATATTAAAAAGCATTGAATTATATACTTTACATGGATAAATTGTTGTGACCACCACAACAATTCATTTTAGAACATTTTGTTTTTCATTTTAAAATTTATTTATTATACTTTAAGTTCTGGGGTACATGTGCAGATTGCGCAGGTTTGTTACATAGGTATACACGTGCCATGGTGGTGGTTTGCTGCATCCATCGCCCCGTCATCTACATTAGGTATTTCTCCTAATGCTATCCCTCCCCAAACTCCCCACCCCCTGCTATCCTCCCCTAGCCCTCCACCCACCAGGCCCTGGTGTGTGATGTTCCCCTCCCTGTATCCATGTGTTCTCATTGTTCAACACCCACTTACGAGTGAGAACATGCGGTGTTTGGTTTTCTGTTCTTGTGTCAGTTTGCTGAGAGTGATGGTTGCCAGTTTCATCATTATTTGTAAAATAAACGCCATGCTCATTAACAGTGCTTCCCCACTGCCCGCTTCCCCCCAGACTTAGACAACCACGAATCTGCTTTCTCTTTCTGTCTTCACGGATTTGCCTGTTCTGAACATTTTATATAAATGGAACTATACACTATATGGCCTTTTGTGACTGGCTTCTTTCACTCAGCATCATGTTTTCAAAGTTCATCTATGTTACAGTATCAGTGCTGCACACCTTTTTACAGTCAAACACTATTCCATTGTATAAATACACCATATCTTGTTTATCCATCCATCCATTGATAGACATTTGGGTTGCTTCCACTCTTTAGTTATTATGAATAGCGCCGCTATGAGCACTGATGTATAATGTAAAAAGAAACTAAAATCTTGGGACACCAATTCACACTCCCAAAAAGAAAAAATTAAGCTGAAAGCTGAGTCATGCAAGAAACTTTAGTAGAAATTGATAAGCTGAGGCTGGGTGTGGTGGATCAGGCCTGTAATACCAGGACTTTGGGAGGCCAAGGTGGGCAGATCACCTGAGGTCGTGAGTTCGAGACCAACCTGACCAACATGGAAAAACCGTGTCTGTATTAAAAATACAAAATTAGCGGGTGTGGTAGTGCGTGCCTGTAATCCCAGCTACTCGAGAGGCTGAGGCAGGAGAATCGCTTGAAACTGGGGGCGGAGGTTGCCGTGAGTGGAGATCGCACCGTTGCACTCCAGCCTGGGCAACGAGAATGAAACTCCATCTAAAATAAATAAATAAATAAATAAAAAGCTGATTCTAACATTTATATGAGAATGTAAATGACCTGGAATAGAAAAAGTTAATTTGACAAAGGAGAACAAAGTTGGAATACTTATACTGTCTGGCTTCAAGACTTCTGTAAGAGTGAAATCACTTCTGTAAGGTGGGATAGGAGGTTGTTCTGTTACTAAGAACGGGAATGATACCGAGCTCGAATTTATAATTTAGAGGCAGGTTCGTGAGAAGAAAACACCAAGCCGAGAATAACAAGGTAAAAGAAGAGAATTTTATTTACAGAAGGTTATAGGTAAAGGAAGAGGATTTTATTTACAAAAGGTTATAGGTAAAAGAAGAGGATTTTATTTACAAAAGGGACATACCCAGAGACCGTCCGTCCGGACACTCAGCACCGGCGTTACAGCAGCACGGGCAAGGCGCAAGTCACAGCTCTCAGCAATCTCTTCGTCTCTCTCTCTCTCCCTCTCCTCAGCACCGGCATTACAGCAGCACGGGCAAGGCGCGAGTTACAGCTCTCCACAATCTTTCTCTTCCTCTCTTTTTCCCTCTTTCCGTCTTTCTTTGGTTTTTGTCTATATTTTATATGTTGCAGTTTAACTTAGGTTATAGTAAACACCAGCTGCTCTTTGTCTTGTCTCTCACGAACATTATCATTATGTAACAGCAATCCTTGGCTTTGTTTACGGTTTTCGAAGAGACGGGAATTGGCCAGATTCCCGGCTCCTCGGACATAAGCCACGGTCATCATGAGCTCCTAATGCCCCGGGCTTACTGCCAAAGAAATGATAACTTTAGTTCCCAAGGTCCAAGAAACTTAGAGCAAACACTGGGCATGACTTTTTTTATATTAACCCTACAGAGGTCCCCCAATTGGATCCCCTTAAAACAACAATAATTTCACAGCCATCCAGGGGAAAAGGTGCCTTTTTGAGTGTCTTGGGATTCAGGCAGGCATTTGTGAAACCCAAAGGAACCCAGGAGCTAGAAGGGTTGTTTTGAGAAGGCAGACCCACACCCAGGTGACAGACCTGCTGATCTGGTCCCAGCTCCCTATTCTGGTAGAGGCCCTATTCCATAAAGGGCTTAGGACCAGAGACAGCAGCCATGCAGGGACTCCTTGGCCTCTGGAGCTGCAGGGAGCTCTGGCTCAGGTGCATCCAAAACACTCCCAGAGCACAGAGTCCGGGAAGTGGGAGCTTTGCAGGGTCCTACAGAGTGGAGACGTGGGAGGATTACGGATTGTACACACAGAGGGAAAAACAAACCCCACAAGTGAAATATATAAGCATATATTTATATGTACATAAACATTTACATTCTAAGCTTAAAAATGATTCATGCTAGTATTTATACAACTATGACAAATAGAAGTGTGTGCATTTATGCACTGACCACCTCGTTGCTGAAAAAATGCTGCAGACACACCCGCTGTTCTGTACTCACTCTCCTAGCCCCATGTCTTGCCTCCCTTGACATATGTGCACACAGAGGAAGACACATTTTAAATGATCCCCTTTGTCATTGATTCAGAACTGGTTGAACCTGAGGCTCATTTCCTTAATGAGCCTCAAATATTCTGTTTATATATACTCTCTAATATTCAGGGGCTTTTTGGTTTGTTTTTGTTTTTTTCAGATGGAGTCTTGCTCTTGTTGCCCAGGCTGCTGGAGTGTAATGGCACAATCTCAGCTTAATGCAACCTCCGCCTCCCAGGTTCAAGTGATTCTCCTGCCTCAACCTCCTGAGTTGCTGGGATTACAGGCACCGGCCACCACACTCAGCTAATTTTTGTTCGAGACCAGTCTGGTCTCAAACTCCTGACCTTGTGATCCGCCTGCCTCGGCCTCCGAAAGTGCTGGGATTACAGGCGTGAGCCACCGCACCCGGCCCCCTCTAATATTCTGTAAAGCAGGGGCCCCAACCTCCGGGCAGCAGACTGGTACTGGTCTGTGGCCTGCTAGGGACTAGACCACGCAGCAGGAGGTGAGAGTGGGTGAGTGAGCAAAACTTCATCTGTATTTACAGCTGCTTGTCATCACTAGCATTACTGCCTGAGCTCCACCTCCTGTCAGATCAGAGGCAGCATTAGGTTCTCATAGGCACATAAACCCTATTGTGAACTGCGCATGCGCGGAATCTAAAGTGCACGTTTCTTAAGATAATCAAATGCCTGATGATCTGTCACTGTCTCCCATCACCCCCAGATGGAACCCTCTAGTCTCAGAAAAACAAGCATAGGGCTCCCACTGATTCTACATTATGATGAGTTGTATAATTACGTCATTATATTTTACAATGTAATAATAATAAAGTGCGTAATAAATGAATCATCCTGAAACCTTGCCTCCCCTCCCCCTGACGCAGTCTGTGAAAAAATTGTCTTCCATGAAGCTGGTTCCTAGTGCCAAAAAGGCTGGGGACCACTGCTGTAAAGGCATAGGCGTGCGTGTGTGAGAGCTGAGGTCTCCATGCTTTGGGGAGGGGGTGCATTCAAGCAGAGACTATCAGGGATGGAGTAGCTGGGCTGTGCAGAGCTCACCTCTTCATTGGACATGAGGCTGGGCTCCATGGGTTTTCAGTTCCCAGCCCCAGAACAGCTGATGTCTCCTCCCCAAGAGTCCACCTATGAGTCCATCTTAACACCCAACAGGTGTTCAAATTTTCTGTTGCTACCTGACCACGATAACTCTTCTGGATTCAGGCCAAGCCTCCTGTGTCTAGGAGGCTGCTCCCTGAGCCATTATCCACAGCCAAAGAGAGCAGGTGGTGAGGACAGGCTGGACTTTTAAGGCCTTCTCCCAGACAGTGCAAGGCTATGCCTCTCTACCCACTGCCGGATCCAGGTCAGACTCCATATCTGGCTTTCACAGCAACCGCAGCAACAGCAGGAGCAGTGAGTTGCACTTGATGAGCTTTTGGTCGGCTTGGTGCATTTTGCATGGATTGTCTGTTTTAAGTATTGTGACAACCATGTGAGACGAGTTCTGCTGGGAGAGAGATCCAAGGCGGCTGATCACTAGCAGCTCGGGATTGTAGCTCCTACTGAAAGAGCAGAGAACGAGAGGATGCCACACTTTCAGATCAATTTTTGTTGCTCACCCACCAGGAGATTCCCAGCGGAGGAGCCCCACATGTCGCCAGCACGACTCTTGAGGCCGGTGAAGCGGTTTTGCCGCTGCCTTGGAGCGGCGGTTCTTGGTGCAGAGTCAGAAAAGCACCATCAATCTTAAAGCCGTCGTTTTGGCCGGCGCAGTGGGTCGCTCAGATTCTAGCGCCGGGAATCAACAAGTTGGACGTCCATTCAGAAACCCAACTATAAAGACGGTAATTATAAAGACCACAGATGGATAAATCTATAAAGAAGGGAAGAAAACAGCCTAAAAAGGCTGAGAATACCCAAACTCAGAACGCCTCTCCCTCTACAGGGGATCACAGTTCCTCATCAGCAACAGAACAAGGCCTGATGGAGAAAGACTGTGTTCCATTAGCAGAAGCAGGCTTTAAAAAGTGGATGATAAGAAACTTCTGGGAATTAAAAGAGCTTGTTCTAACCCAATGCAAAGAAACTAAGAACTTTGAAAAAAGGTTTGACGAAATGTTAAAAATACACAATTTAGAGAGGAATATAAGTGAATTAATGGAGC